ACATTCAGCAAATGTCGGTTGTCATAGACCAATTTCAGTATTCCTAAGATTCTAAATCTTTCTTTGAATACTGAATGTGAAGATGAAACAAAGGTTTATGATGATTGCATTTTCTTGGTTGCACACTCAACTCACCAGACATCGCTTACCGTATCCTACTTCCAATCGTTCTACTTCTCTACAAGTTTCGAATATACATACCTACGAGTAAAATGACTGAATAGAGATGAAACCGAAATCCCTTTGTTTCGTTCGCATGCAAGGACAAAGGCGTACAGAATTGGCGTACACAGCCCGCGGTATTTGATGTGCTGGTGTTACGATGGGCAATCATATAAAAACGGAGATATGTTTGCAAGTAATCTTTTTACTGGGACCAGAATAATCAAAAACAATCAACGCCATCCGGATACAGGTTCCATAGTTTTGTTATCACAATGGCAGATATCCAGGAAGCGAAGAAGTTTGTCGAACTACTTATTGCTCGCTTTCACAAATCATGCGATACAATTGATCGTGATGTTGAAGAATGGTACAATGACCAACGCCAAGACGACGTTGCTTACTTTAATCTCATCTCGACTCATCCGTCACTTGAACATCGGGAAATAGCATTAGCTACATTGTATAAACATGGATATGGTACATCCCAAAGTACTGCAAAAGCAGTTGAACTGTATGAGAAAGCTAGTCAATCTGGAGACGTATATGGAGATTGTGAGTTGGCGCGTTATTATAGAGAGAAGGGCGATGGAGAAGATGATGCAAAGCGTGCGTTAGAATATGCTAAAAAGGCGGCCGATGGTGGTGTGCCATATGGATACTATGTGTTGGGAGAGCTTAATGAAATCGGAGCTGCAGTAGAGGAGAATAAGCGAGATGCAACTAAGTTATATAAACGAGCAGCTGAAGGAGGATACGTGGATGCGAATTTAAAGGTGGCCGAGCTGTACATTGAAAAGGCGCTACAATGGTACAACGTTGCCGCCGATAAGGGGAACGTACAAGCCCGTATACGGTCGGATGAATATTCCAAGATAATGGCGAAATGGTAAATAATTGCATCAGTTATAATAATGTATTATTCATTTGTTGCAACAATTCTTAACCGTCACCGTTTCTTATCTTTCTTTTTCTTTTTCTAGGATGTAAATGAAGGTTGTCGTCATACATTAGTTATCTCATAGTATTGATCAATGTATTTCGAAGAGGAGGTTGTATAGCTTCTTTACAAGCGGTTTATAGATAGGCAATAAATTATGACGTAAATATTGTAATGATAATAGTGACTAATCGTCTACAAGCTGAACTAATTATAATCGACTATCGGTTCGATGACAAGTATCAGTTAATATTGTCAAATTGACAGGCTTGGTATGAAAAGATTGATTGTTACGAGCATCCATTATTATTTTTTTATTTTGAGATCTGTCAGTTTGATCGCACAACCATGCCAATGTAGTCTGCTTAGGAAAAGACGAATACACAGTATAGAAAGAAAAACTTGCCCTCTATATACGTGTAACACATAGCCTCCAAATTTAACAGATGCTGCGTAAACAAAAATTGATCGTAAATATGACCTTCTAGCACACTGTTTAGCATATCTCGCCTTGAATTGATTTGTTGTTAAAATACTTCATAAATCATTCTTAAAATGCCTTTACAAAATAAAAACCTCATCCTGAAAAGTCATCATCTTGCATTTCTGGAACAATCTTCCAAATAACTATCACAAACATTCCACTCTGGACTGTCAAATATTACATTAAAAACTTAAGGAAACTGACAGCATTGATGGAAGTGACTGGCCTAATAAAGATTACTGGAAATACAACTGTTGCTATTGGCCAATATTCCCACTATTACTATATCAACACGAACATTGGGATTCAACAAACGCTAGGACATGTCTGGTGCTTCCAGCAGACAACAATCCTAGCACACTAGTTGCGTTGCTTCAGAATTCCTGTGAGCAAACATTTCTGAGGTCATTGACTGGCCGTCTAATAATCCAGACCTCAACCCCATAAAAAATTTATGGATATTGTTAAGAGAAATATAGAGAAATGAGTAATAGTAACCAAAAATCTTGAAGGCTTATGGTACTTTATGGGATAATAATATTATTACAAATGCTATTATAAAAATTTAATAAAACCAATGTGAAGCAATTACTATTATTGAGAAAGGTGTGGATGAATTAAATTGGCAAGTTTTACAGACTTAAACGAGCTGATGAGATAATTTGCATTGGCAGTTGCTGAGATATTACGAAATTATGGAGGGCAAGTCATACTGTACAGTATATGTAACCTAAATATGACTTTTGTATTAATGTTTGTGGACTTATAAATGCTTTCTGGTATAAGTTGCCTTCATAGCTGTTTGCCTGTATTATGTATATTAATATGTGGCTATTAGTATTACTATTTGACTTCAACTACAGTCAAACCTCTTTATGCTGATATTTTTATGCCAATATATAATAAATCTCGTTATACCGATATTTTCTCAAAAAACTCTTAATTAAACTCATTTTTTTATACAAATACTGATATTTTTTTAGAATTTTTTCTTAATTAAAATGACTTTATATACTTATATTTCTTTTTGACTGAACCGGTATAAAGAAATTTGACTGTATATGTAGTCTCCTTTTATTCCTTTTTGACTGCATATTGGCATACTTTGTCCAAAAGAAAAGGTATCAGGTGGTACACAATATTAATGTATTAGTATTTTCAGTTATTTTGGCCAGTATTTAAGTATTGTAATGATGGTAATTCTAAATCTATCTTTTGTGCATGTAATTTAGGATCCATCTTGGCATCATGGCAGTACCATGACAGTATTAGTATCCTGGAGCTGGTAAGGAAATAGTGCTGGCCAAATTAACACCGTGCTTTACTGTGCTTATCAGATGATACAGTTCTAGGCATGTTCCCCATCACTTCTTGTCATTTTCATATCTTAGTATTAAATGCCTCTCTTGCAACCCATTTATTACTATTACTATTACTATTTGCTGGAAATATGTCACAATCCCATTATTATTATTCCTTGATTACCAGTGAGGCACAAATAACACAAGTGCTGATATTGTAATTGTAGTTGAGCCAAACCTTTCAGATTAGGCACAAAATGCTGACTTAGTTCAGAATTATACCATTTTCATACTTTTTGTTCCATATTTTCCTGAGCCCTTTCAACTTCATATAACATTGATTATTATCATCTTTGTCTTTATACAAAAAATTTTTTGATGAGGCTCTGGAAGTCCATCACTTCTGAGACCTTTAAGCTTGTTGATACTCTTTTTAAAATTCCTCCAAAATTGCGCTTTTACTATTACTTTGAACTCTGAGAATAACAAAATGACCTTCATTTTAGTGACAAGTTGATGCTTAACATGCAATTTTCTCATGAAATCACACTGTTCATATCACTTACACATCCATCTGTAGATCCTCACTATTACTATTTACGAATTTTTTGGCAAGCATGCTGGGAAGTGCATTGTCAAAGTCAGCCTTAGATACAGGAAGATCAATCTTCACATAAGGCCGGCCCCGCTTGATGATGACTCGGCAATTCTGTTTCTGGCAATTTCTCTCTGCTTAGAGGCGCCTTTTGTGTTAAACAAAACCCATAAACTCTTGCAATGAAATCAGTCGACGTTCGTTTAATGATGACTTGCAATGCTTTTTCCGACAGTTTCCCTCTGCTTAACAAAACTATTGGTTACATTAACTAAATTTAAAAGTTTTTAAGTTGTTCGAAGACAGAAATAAAATCAATTGTCGCGTAGAAAATTTATAATATGCTGTACTGTATTGGAGAAGCAAATAATGCTATCGGAGAACGCGCGAGTCCCCCGGTAAAATCATCTGCGCCTCAGAAGCCTCGAATTAATTTTAGCGATTCGTTAAGTTTCTTATTAGGTACCCCGCATCAAGTTTGTATTAAGTTAATTATAATTATTGATGTGAGCCGAGTTTCGCAGTGAAAGTAGAATGAACTTCAGAAAGACGCGTGATTTTAGTGAAATACAAGCCACCGAACTAGGCTTTCGTGGATAATGCTACCTTACAGCCCAACTATGATAACATTTTTTAGTAGGAATGATAATATTGGCATTCATAATGACTATGTAAAAGCTTCTCATTACGAGTTTATCTTTCCCAAAACCCACGTATTCTTCCTATTGGCCTTCCATTATGCCATAAGTATACTTCCTTTTGTTCATAAAGTCTCCTAATGTCTCATTACCGTCGTACGCAAAAGGACAAGTAACGTGTAAGCAGATGAAGTGTTTGATCGTTTAACATAGCAAAATAATGCCCCTGTTGACATGTCAAGCTTTTCGTAAACAGATTATTGTGGCTTCACATTGGCAAGTGCATTTAGCACCTTTCTTTTTTTTCACTGCTCAGCACATGAAATTCAGCACTGCCTGGTAAATATCTACCTCTATCTCGATCATTGTCATTAATACTTAATTTCTTTACTTAACCATTGAATTACGAGTTTTGCAGTTATGACTGTTACTTTATTCTTTTCCGTATTTGTATTTGTATTTTAAACAATGCAATCTTTCGAGTTTACGGTCATTAAATGGGTCATGAAAGACGTAATCATTATTCGGAAGAAATAACACTATCACACATATTCATGACACTCTTATACACATGATCCAATTAAGCAGGCCATCAGTTAACAACAAATACAATATGTATTATGATACACTAAAGATACATGCGCAACTGTCTTTTAGACAGTCACGTCTTAGTACGAATATTTCCGCAATGAAACTTATCTACTCTAAATAAAGTAATGTTCTGGACACAATTCGGAGACCAACAAATATCTAAATACGAACCATTAGTATAAGCAAGGTAACCTAAATACTATGAGTACATGGTGATAACAGTTTACTAGTCCTTCACAGTTGCTCAGTTACAACTTAATTACTCTTTACAGCCTAATCCGCAATATAATTACAGTCCTTCTTCATGACCATTTGAACTCGTACTGGCAGTGCTTCTCGGACTACGTAATCTTGTGCTCTCGGCAAGTGCATTTTTTAGAGCACGCGTCGCAAACACGGTCAATTTAATGCCCGCCCAATCTTCGTCATGCAAACGACGAAGATCGCCAACTGTCATAATATCTTCCTTTTTTAACTTATCCGTCCACTGTCTAGCCTTCTCCATATCGCGATGTAGTGCTTGAGCAGTGTCGCTGACAAATTCTTCGATGGGGGTATCGTTTGGATACTCTAAAAGAGTAGGTTTGTGCTGAGGTTTAGTAATTGTACCAAGGATAGCTGACGATTACTACTATTTCCAAAGCTTATTGAATAATATGGTCGATATCTTAAAGTTTTCTGCGGTTGTATCTAATATACTCACCTCGCACTGGTACCGAATCTTCTGGATCATTCAACCATTCTCTTCTTCGATTAGGTTCCATCCCCGGATACAAAGGGCTAATCATACCATTCATGAAATTCCTTTCCACATGTGTCTGCGCCATTGACCCTGGAGATATTGTCAATGCTATATTAGACCGTGATCCACCATATACGGTTGATAAGGCTCCAGATATTGGCCACAATGAATTGGCTTCCTCTTTGTTTTGGTCATCACCATTTTGTATTTTATTGAGTTCTCTTAGAATGCGATTGATCTCGTGAGTTATCAGAGTCTTGTATTTCTGATGAAGTACCTGCTCTTCAATCTAGTTATTCGGGATCGGCAATAGCGACAGAGTAGGTAATGAAGTATTAATACGCTATCACTAACAATAAATTAATGAACACGCAAGCTTACCATCTCTCCGACAACTTCTTCAGCTGTGTCTTTAACAACATTAAAATTAAATTTCACCGAGAGTTTGTCCATACCCTTAAATACTAATTGTAAACTCAAATTTACTTTTTCCGGATCCATACTTAGTAGAACTACTTCTGGATCAACCAAAAGAAAAGTATGGTTCACTATTTGGTGGGCAGTATACCTTAGGCATTGGAAAAAAGCTCGTCAATAACAGATAGATGCGATTTGTAAATGACAATAGTACTGGGGATATACCTTTCATTTTCTGGGGCAATGCAATGATTTATTAAGTCAAGCACTTCCGGATCTTGAACTTTATTAAGACACTCCGGTCTGCTGCCCTGACGGATGGATTATAGAGATTCCAAGAAAAAAGAAAAAGCATTAACGATAAATCTAGTGACGCGCGCAACCATGTAATACTGTTTTTAACGAACAGTATGAAGCGCTTTACGCGGAAATTCATACCTGTATCACTTTCTTATACACCTGTGCAGCATTCTTACACTCATTATATGGGTATTCGCCAGTCACCATCTCCAGTAAGCACATCCCGAATGCATATATGTCTACTTTCTCGCTATATCCTTTCTCATCGTACATTTCTGGCGCCATAAACTCGGGAGTTCCTACAAACGTAATTTATAGTTCGCATTTAAAACATACAAGAGACAAAAAGAACTGTTTTTGCAACAATAACTCAAGTCATTCAATCTGAGAGATGCGCTGCATACCTATGACGGTATACTTCTTGCCCAACTTCATCTTTGCCGTTCCCATGTCACCAATTTTCACTTCGCCATGTGCGCCATTTATGAAGATGTTGTCGCATTTTATGTCACGATGAATGATTGGAGGGTCGTGGGAGTGGAGATATTTAAGACCTTTTAGAATTTGACGAGACCAACGTTTGACTATTTTCATGTTTGGAAGAGAGAGTTTGCGAATGTATCTGAGACATGGTGAAGAAAATGAAAAGAAGGGTATTCAAATTCGCGATAATGAATCATCGTTAGTTAATGTAAAAATGTGTTGGTTCGATGATTCTTGGCAATGCATAACGCTTTCCGCACAAAAACCTCTATTAAATCACATACTCTCGCAATGTTCCAGACGTCATCAATTCAGCCACAAAAATAAATTCGTTGTCTTTGCTATACCACCAATCATGGAAAGCGATGATGTTTGGATGTCTTACTTCTTTAAGGATGCTTATCTCTTGACTTAAAGCGTTAAACTGAGCCTTCGTTGTCTGTTTGATAAATCGACAAACGGGAAAACCGATGGTCAATTTTCAATTTTGAGAGTGTCATGCATATCTAAATGCTCACCTGGAAGCAATTCCAGGCTACTTCATAGCCCTCCTCACGATCTATTGCTTTGTAAACAACTTTATAAGCACCTTTTCCCAATACCGTGTTCAACTGCGGAGGTAAATGACTAGTTAGATGTGTTATAATAAGTGAATTACACGTTCTTATAGTATTCAATACCTTTGCATATCTACCATTAGGACTTATTTCGACGATCGTCTCTGGATCATGTTTAGACAAGTCGAAGAAATCATTTCCCGACGGAGAGAAAGCAACTGAGGTACGTAGGTGAGTATATGTGTATTTGTTTATGGTTTATTACATTGTTAATAATGGTAACTGAGCGTATTATTCGTACTATTTTATATCCAAACCGAATTAAGTACCGTTCAAGTGACGTCCATTTGTCTCCTCAATGTGCAACTGAGTCATATCTTTATTTCAATAGTATGAAGAAGAAGTGTATTATTATTAAAATACAAACATCGTTCCCGATACACATGCTCTCTGCCCTGATTACATTTGTGATCACACCACCCGGATTATTATCAACAAATGTCTCTACCCCAGTGTATCTAACAAATATAGTAATAGGGCCAATGAATTGTGTTACCGAAGTAATAATATAAAAACATAATTTTCGGATGATTTGTGCTGGCTTTTCAGCCTGATAGATCTCTTTCTTTTGTACGCTTCGTGTAATGACCGAGCCCGTTTTGTAAACCAGTATACGCCAAATAAAAAGAATACGCGACGCATACTTTTAATACTGTTGTACATATTATTCTTCCCTTGGCAATGTAACTTCCTCTGGATCATAGGAGCACTTCAAAAACTATTACGTCTGATCGTCTATATCATACAGCGAACGATGAATAATTTGATGGCTAGTCATTATCTTGGTGGGTGACACTACGTATGTTGCAATGTCTCATTTGTACAAACGTAAACTTTGACCTTTGTAACTTCCCGGTGAGTGTAAGCTGTTTGCTATTGCAATTGTTCCAAGGTTATATCTTCCTAAACACTTCCCAAAGTGCAAGTAAATCTAATGTTTCAACTGTACTCTATTCGCGTATACGAAGTCTTTGGAATGACTAGCAACTTACGCAAAAGGCCAAAGATTGTTATGCAGAGTCAGTTCGGAACATCAACAAGACGACCTTGGACGATAAACCCAACATTATTTGGTGCACGAAATTATCAGGATATTGGCTCAGGACTTGATTAGAAACGCGAGGTGTTTGTTACCCTTTGAACGAATGTATTCTAACACGAATCGAAGATGTGGACCGCGGTGTGGCTCGATTCGGATATTAGTTTTAATGTAGACATTGTGCAGTAGTCATAGATGCCCCTGCAAATCTACCCCTTTGGCGTTTATACATTTCCAGCTTTTGCGCGACGGAACGCTTTTTATCGGGAATTTTTGCGCCGATCGACTGTCATCTTAAGTTCGAATTAAAGTTATCGTTATCCTTAATTTGATCCATTTCGGTGCCCAAATCGAATAACAGCCCATTTGCTAACGTGTTGATCTAAATTTCCATATTAATATGTCCCGACATTCCATTGTTGATGGCATGCTCCTGATAACCTGTAGCAAAAATGCCTTTGAGAAGTGTTTCCATCTTGGAACATAGATTCTGGACATGCAACGTATGTGCCAGATAAACAGCAGTATTATCGACTCTGGTGACAACGCAGTTTGCGAATACTGCATTATTTATTATTAATACTGTTGGAATAGCATAGTAATAGACAATCTACAGTAGATTAAAATATTAAAAGTAATTTTGTATATTAATATTAATATTCATAATAAATATTTGAGCAGAACATGTTGATGACACAATGCTCAGCTGAGGAATACAAAACTTATCAATTAGCAGAATTTATGAGACATAGTTGGATCTTTCTAATCAATAGTCTATTATGTTAATCCAATATAAAAGCGCTTTTCTACTAGCGCTAGCGATAATCGTGAATTACCCCCTGGTTAAGCAAGCTATAAGCGGGATAATTATTATCATAAAATAGTTGATATTTAGCATTTTTAAATTTCAAATGGAGATTTAAACCAAAAATCTTGGCTTCATAGTTCTCGATGTAAAATTTAAACAGTCAAGGATATCTTTTTACACTAAATATTGCGGTTTTTTAATATGGATACTCAAAGGCTGAATTTTTTCCTCGTATCCTCTTTCTCTGGGCCTCTCGAGTTTTTTGCATTAATGATCTGTTTTTTGTAAACTTATTACAGCTCGAGGACGTGCTGTATAAACTATTTGACAGTTGACTTTAGCCATAGTGACTGGTTCTCTTTTTCAGCCAACAATATCTGCATGTCAAGAAAACGTGTTCAGCAAAAACTTCCTTTTTGAAAGTCGCATAGAGATGATAGCTAAGCACGCTAGTAAGACGTTCCAACACTACCCGTCGCTTCTTCGTTCTAGTGCTTTCCTATGGCTTCGTCCGAGCGACTCACTCGTTAAGCGATGTCCAGATCCAATTGGTAGTTTAAAATGCAACGTTGTACTGTTAAGCCAACCGCCTTCTCGAGGGGGGACCCTATCTTTGCGAAGACGGATGTACGCGCGAATCCGTTATTTGTGTCTAGTCAGTCCTCTACAACGCTCTGGACACTAATAATATATATGAGTAAGTTTACAGAGTTTTAATAATGTACATTAGTCTAATACAAGCGTCTATCAAACCGAATTTAAATTAAAGTTTAACGGTCGACTAGTGTATACAGCTTCAGGATGAATGTTAATTGATGATGCCGTGGTTACACTATCGGATGAGGAAGTAACTTTATATCTTTCTTGTATAATCTTCGCTCTTTTCTCATCAGCAAATCCAAATTGATTCGCGGCACTAGTTAATTTCTTATTGTTAATTTCATCGTACCACCCTTGAAATATCTTCACAAGATCATAACAAGTCGGACGAGCCAACGGTTCATCCTGCCAACATTGGCACATTATCTGCACAAAAAAGTCTGGTGTCCCAACTGGAATCTCGGGTCTTACTCCATTAAGAATATCTCTCGCTAATCGAACATCATGTGGTCTATCAGAAAAGGGCCTTTGCTCAGTGGCAAATACCCACATTAAAAGACCAACGCTGTACACATCTGCTGCTGCTGTTATTTGTTGCCCACGAAGAATTTCGGGTGCCATGTATGGTAGTACTCCGAAATAATGCTTTGGATTTGCTTCATTAGGAGTGCAACAGAGACCAGCATCACTAAGCCTTAATCGAGGTGGAAGTCCTGGTATTGGGTCAGTGGGAAGAATATTACCGCCATGAAGACTACCATGGATCAGCTTGTCGTTGTGAATAGATCTCAAGCCTTCTGCTATTGACCTCAAACATTGAATCTTACGAATCCATCTGAAATCTGACTTTTTGTGCATCCTATCAAGGTATTGGTAAAGGTCACCTTGCAAAGAATATTCCATTACAACCATGTACTTTTTCGTCTCTGGATCCTGCGTGATTCCGAAGGCAGACTGAAATTCATCGTGGAATGTATATCTTAATTGAGACTTTAACTGTCACATGAACAAATTAGATCGAAATTAGTATGCGCGGTGACCATCAGTATTAAATTTTGCATATTTATGGCAATAAGACAGATCGATCTATTAAAACAAGCAACATTTCAAAAACAACAAATTGTTCGTACTTGGTGTAGGAGATCTTTATAGAACTTTCTTCGGTTATCCAATACTCTCAGCGCTACTTTGGTAGGACCAATTCTCTGATACTCCTCGTTTTCGGAATGCCAAAACTGTCGTGGTCCATCTAGCCAAGTGGCCGACACGAGAGTGCTATATTTACCCTCGCCCATTTTAGCAAAATCAGCAAGTCTATGGAACGGGATCCACTCCAAGTATTCGTCAACATCGTTTGCATTTAATTGTGTATATTGAATTATTCTATCAATAGCCTTAGTTCCACTAGTCCAATTATTAAAGTTGTTACAGAAATCTTTCGATTCGCACAATTTACACCATCGTCGACGCGAGGACATACTGAGTTCACCGCACCTTTCGCAATTAATCTTTGCGTCGTATATCATACGTGTCTGAGCACGCATGGGAACCCTTGCAAACACCAAATTGCCTATAGTTTCAAGCGGTAAATTGGCATATGATTCCATTCGACTGATTTACTTTGGAGAGAAAATCCTTAGACTTGTTAAATTTGTATGTGTTCGGTTTATTAAGCAATCAAACTAAAGGTACAAGTTTTCTCGTCCAATATGAAACCAGTGTGTCAAAGCTGCATCGCGAAAATAATCGGTAGAACACACTTAAGGAATCGACAAGAGTCAAAGGGTATTAGAGCAATGGACACAAATTATCTACCGCATTCGGTGATACCTAATCACCTATTGGTTCCGAATGACATGTGATATCGATTAAATTTTGTCAAATTAAAGACAAGCGTTTATTATTATTATTATTATTATTATTATTATTATTAGGAAATTTTCGTTGCTATGGTGGCTATCATCTATAAACCGCACTAATGTCACATGACTTTAAAACTTTATAAGTTAAAAACAAATAAACCT